TTGCTTAATTTTTCGGGTTGGATATTGTTCTTTAGCACACCAAGGTTACATTTCTAGAGTTGTCCCACAGTCTGACCACGTACAGAGGTTTGACAGCGATTTATGCCAAAAAGAGGCATCGGAGTTTAGTCCAATCCTACAGTTCTCCCGTACACGTGCTAAATACAGCTCCATGGCTCGGTGCAGACTCTTTTGATATCATTCTTTACACAGCTATTCATGCAGCACTGTAATGGATCTTGCGGAACTGATCCATAGCCCCAGTAGGGTAAGCAAATCTGTGAGGGTGTTTGACGTGTTACCTAAGTGTTGGTCATTCGGCCCGCTCTACCACTGGCGATACCACGACTTGGAGACACCGGAGCGACCCACGCCCATTTCTAAACAAACTGTGCAGCTTTGATTTAAACCGGTAGAAGTTGTTATTGTGATATCTTATGGCATCGATTAAAAGCTTGTTAGGTAGCTTAAAGAACGGTGCACAATCGGCTCGCTTGCGAAAATGACCACGTTGCACATAAAGACGTACAAGGAGGCGTCCAATTGTAAAATGTCAGAGGAAGTACCCCCCCCCCTCCCCCGAAACACCACATTCTGAGTCAGTAACCACCCTCGTATTTGCCGCATCTTTCACTGTTTCGGCCCTAGAGGTGGATATAATGAAGACAATGGGAAAAAGTCAAGTTTTAAGACTTTTTGACAAACAATACAATCTAAAAACTGCGCCCGTTCATTTTTTTGTATTTATCTTAAGAAACGCAGTTGGGTGGGGTGTAGTTACGGTGTTGCCCCGTTACAGTCTTTTGTCATGTGAAAGGAGCAAATCTCTAGGGCCGCAGGCCCACCGCTGGAAGGTAGTTTACTCAAATATGCAAAGTGATTTACCGGTCACATGATTTATTTGGTTATATTCTTCAGTAAATCGCTAGACTGAAATGGGCGGGCCGCAGGCCCAACCATCGCCGCCGGCAGGCCAAGCGGGCCCGGCCCCTGCCGAACGGAGTTGCCGGCGGAGCGAAGTGGAGCTGGCAACTGCGTTTGGCGGAAGGGCGGGCCTGCTTGTTAGATTGTATATTGTTTGTCAAACAGTCCCAAAACTTGACTTTCTGCTAAGAGACGTGCTAGAGACTTGAAATTTTTAGGGCATCTTGAGGTTCACTCCTAGAGAACGAAACGCCTGCAAATCCTGCAAACCAGTGGCCGCCATCGTATGGAGATGGGTGGGCAGCTGCCCACCCATCTTTTTGAAAAAGTAGGTAGGTTTGGGGTCCGAGGAGGTAGGTAAGAGAAGGGAGGAGGGAGGAGAAAGGGAGAAAAAGAGAGGGAGGGAAAGGAAAGGGGAGAGGGAAAAAGAAAGAGAGAAGAGAGGAGAGAAAGAAAAGAGACAAGGGGGGTGGGGGGGGGGAGAATAGAAGAGAGAAGCTCAGTAGCTCAGTAGAGCAGAGCTTAAAAATTTTAACCAACCAGAACCCACCCACGCCAGGCCGTGCCGAGGAGGTAAGGGCACGGTCTGGTCAGGCACAGGCAGCAGGCAACCGCAACCGCCCGGCTGCCGAACGAACGCAATGCAATAGAGACCTTTATCCTTCATTTACCAAACCCCGTGCACTGAATAAAAGAAGGCCTTGGCGTTGATTATTTGTTTCAATATCGCAAACGTACATACATGAGGTTAATTTTATACATAGAAATAGAAATTACCAGGCCGATGGAGCGGGTGCGGGCAGAAGAGGCAATG